TGTCCACTTAGAGGTCTATTGTAAAAAAAATAGGTACCAACTGACTATGATTTCAAATGTCATGTCACTGAAACAACAAGTCTTTCATTTTGGCCGAATAATGAATTGGTTGTGTCCCTGTGTTTTCTTAATTTCTTCCTCGTTTGTTTATCAATCAGTCAACCAAGAAAATCACATTCACTATTTGATAGTTACAGTATTTGAAAATCTGTTTTTATAATCCAGGCAATGAAAACAATGCACTTATATGTTGTTATAGGCATGAAGGTATAATGCAGATCTGTGCTGTCGGATCCATTCCATTCTAGTTAATTAAATCTTCCATTCTTTGATATATTATAGTATACGTTCACACTTAGTAACTACTATTCTGAAGACCATGAAGGAAACACCTATACCATAGCTTTTCTCAACAAGTTGATAAAACTAACGTTAAAATGGATTCAGTTGGTAACGTTTGAAATCAGATACTGTAATAGATCTGCTATTATAATAGATTCAGATAGCATGGAATCCTATAGCAGAAATGTTGAAGAAAATGATAGTCAGTTACAGGCAAGTGTGCACCAGACTTAAATACCTTTATTCCTTCGATCCAACAGATATAGACAATGTCAATAGGATAGGATTAGTGATGTTCTATAGTACTGTAGAGGCTCGGTATTTACAGACAGGGCAGAGGTATGCACTTAACCTAGTGCCTATTTGATGTCTATGGATGCATTTACTATTATTTCAGTTAACTTTATTTATCTACAGAGGTCCAGATCAACAAAGAGTTGTTCTTTTCTGAGACTATTCACTTAAATTCAAATAAGCGTGGAGGAACATATTCTTCCATTTATAAGTAACTAATTAAACATTCTCTTTTTGTGTTCAAAAGCAAAAAATTCAGAGTATACTTTATGTCCATTTTTTATATTTAGAAATTGGTTTGGTAACCAAGCTCAATTATTATTGCTCCATTAGTGATTTGAAGTTCATTAAAAGGGTAAGATTACATCTTAAGTTGCACCTAGATGGTGTCAGAGACCTGTTCCCACTGTGAAACCAGTAATTTACTGATATCTATAAAGTTATATTATGATACCAAAGGAGGTAGTAGTACTGTCTAATTAAAGAGTGTCACTGAACTTGATGTGGGTATACAGTAGTTTCTTATTACCGACCCTGCATACAGTACCTAGCTAAAATTTGGACGTTTGTTTGTGTCAGGTAAGATGATTGGAGGTATACTGACGTATGTTGAGCTAAGTAAGTTATTAGCTTTCAGTCTGGAATTAAAATTAAAAATAAAACCTTATATATACATACACACACACATATATATCTGTCTCTTATACACATCTAGATGTGTATAAGAGACAGGTAATCACCTCTTTACAGCTGCTAGGAGTCGCAGAACACACCCATGCAATTTAGCACAATGATACTGCAACTTATGGTTATTCTGCTACATTTAATTTACCTTTAACTAACTTTCAGGGAAAAGGGGAAGTCATCTTAAGGTCACATTTTCTAGCGAACTCTGAAGTAAGTGCATCTACATAGTAAATACTCAACGAGTACTGTATCTTCACGGGCACTACCCTGGGCATGTGACAAGTAGATTACAACCACTTCCAAGCTACCCTTACCATACTGTACCATATTCACCCTTTGGTTACAGCACAGGTGGTCAAAGTGCGGCTCTGAGGACAGATTGCAGCCTGCGGACCGCACACGGCCCGACAGTGATTTAAAAATTAATTTTTTTAAAAACCTATGTGTGCGGCCCGCCAAACATTTTTGACTAGAAATCAACTTGTTTTTTACGGCCTGACACCGGTCGTCTGTAAAAAGTAGTGTTAAAACTGAGAATAAAATGGTATAAAAGCAGTGCATGAAGGTTTTTGGAAGC